TTTTTTTTCAGATTTTGTCTTTACTATTTAACACGCAAACCAAAACATTGAGGTTAAAGTGGAAAAAAATTTTGGAACCAGCTGCTCGCTCTTACCTGCGAAGGAGCTCTGAGTTCTTCCTCACCGTGAGCAAAACAGCAGTTGACACCGAATTTGCAAAATCCTGTCTCCTTGAATGGCAGGCAAAGTACAGTTTTATAAACACCTTCCTTGTGGCGCTCTATAACGACAGGTTTCAGCAAAACAGTATTATAGGAAAATTAGTAGCATTATGAGAAGTACTTACTGCGTTGTTGTATCTCCCTCTCAGTTTCTAAACGCATCGCTGGCATTATTGCGCAAGGGTGTCTTGGAACAAGCTGAAGGCTGCTAGCATTCTCGGCACTTTTCTGTTAAAGTGCAACTATTTTAGTCACACTTGTATAAAAGTAAATTCATCATACGGCTACCATATTGCGAATAATTAAAAAATTAAGAGGACATACCTTCTTGTTTTGAATTTTTTCACTTTTTGATAAATAATTTGCCGCTTTTATTGGAACCACGGAAATCACTTGTGGCTTCACAGGTACAACCTGCAAAAAATAGGAAGAGGCAAAGTGGTCTTCTGATTGGGAAATCCATTTAATATTTCAGATCACTTTAGTTTAACAACCAGTAGAGCAGACAACTTTAGATAAGTAGAATAAGCATATGCAGTTGTTACTGGAAAGAAAGTTACTTAAACAGCTTTATAAAGTATAGCAAAAGAATGGGTAAACGAACCTGCTGCACAACCAGATTTATGTATGATACTGTCGGAATATTTATCGACGTCTGAAGTGTTGGCTGATCCATGCTCTCACTGTTTATAGTAGTCTGGCGCTAAAAAGTTGTATAGAACTAAACCAAATTATACTTTTTTTAGATCCAGCGGTGTTGCTGAAATATAGGCTTTAAAATGTAACGATTACCATATCGTTAGCGGGATTAGAGGAATACAGTTCTGCAGGAATCACGGCGACGGACTGAAGGAAACCTCCACGAAAAACATAAACTCTTAAAGTACGATTAATCTTTAAATCTCTGGTTAAAGAAGTAAAAGACGATGGTAACTGTGAAGATGACTATCCCGGCATCAGTTTATAAATATCCACTTGAAACGTGCCAGAGTGTATTAGACAAGTTCTAACAAAACAAATGATCTTAGAACAAATCCGCAGGTAAGGAATAAAGCTTTTTACTTATTTGGTTCCTTATCGCTGCAATACATAGTTGCATTCGAACCAACAGGGTTAGTGTTAATAACATAATTCCGAATGTGATCAGACACTGGTGTTAGTGGGGTTGTCCAAATAGGTGTTGGCAGTGTAAGACTTTGCATTTTAAAAATAATTTTAATTATGTCACCTGAAAAAGCTTTAAAGTAATTGAGAAAGTTTTTGCTATACCATTTTTAAAAATTTCGAACAACAAGGTTTAATTTTACCAACTTGTATAAAAGCTGATTTCCAAAGCGGTACTTTAAAGCATATCACTGAATAAACGATAGAAAACAGAAACTACTGTTTATCCTAAATGATAAAACCAAATTACCAGAAGACAGTTTACCCGTTTAATACCAAGTCGTACAGTCAGATATTGAAGGAATAAAAACAGAACAGCAAAGTGCTGCGCAGTAGAATTTGAATAAATATCAATGGAAGAACTTTGGCTGTGATGTTAGTGAAAAAAATTTTTAGATTTGGACGACATATTTAACAAGTTTGATTGCCCGTATTTTGAGATTAAATTTTAACAGCTAATAAGGCGGAACTTAAGTGGCCTTATGCTTTTAAGATCACAAAGACGTGTTGTGAATGATAACTTTTGTATTTCGAGCGGTAATGAAGTGTAAATTCCTCGCACGCACCGCAAAATGATGTGTAAAGTTGATCTTTTTTTTAATCTGTTTTTAGGAAGTGTACTGTTAAATTCCTTGGATAAGAGAAAATCGCCGATAGCTGAATGCAAAAAATTGCATAATTATCATTTTGTGGTAAACAGCTCAAAAAACAGTATCAGTGTTATCAAAATGTGCTAATGCAGTTGTCAGTTGAAATTAGGAAAAAGTTTTTACGATGACAGTTATCTGAAAAAATTTTTTTACGTCATATATGAATCTTTTCTATAATTTTAGGTGGTCATTTTAGATTTGAAAAATTGACCTCATCAATATTTCGATCGGTTCCAAAATAATCAAAAACTTTTTGCTTTAGAAAGTACTCAATTTTTTATTTGTTAAAATCAAATTTTTTACGTTTTTAAGATGTTCGACTACAACAATTACCGCTGACAGTGCTGGTGCTTTACATAACATTTAGCTAAAACAGACACTTATTTGGCAAAATATTATCAAAAAAAGTAGGTTTTTTTAGTGCTATTATATCTGTAAGTTTTTGACGACTAAAGTAAATATGTATCAACTCTAAATATCTATTTCTTAAGAGTAATTTTGATGAGTATGAAATTATTCTTGACTATTGACCTATTTTCAATGGAGCAGCATAGTTTGTTGTTGGACTGAGGAGTCAATCAGATACAATTTGTAGTTGTAGTTCAGAGTAAAAGGTGGTTTAGTTATCGGATTTATTATCACCTCTTATCACTACTTTCTACTTAGAACTTTGGATCAACTGTTTTTGTTGTTTGCTCATACTATCAGAACTTTTGTTAAATGTTAATTACATTACAGTAACAGTTCTTTACTATTTACTGATGTTAGTTTTTTTTTTATAGATCGAAAACAATTTATATTCTTCAGTTTTTGTGTAACTGTGCTGTAGTAATATATCATTTAATTGAAAGTTGTAAAATTAAAGCAAGGGTAGTTGCTGACAAAGAAGCTTTATATTGTATTGGTAAACTGTACGTGTATCTGTATTTTTGCTTGGTCATAGAACAGATGCTGTAGATAAAAAAAAAAAAAACGCTATAGTTAGCTGGTAATTAAAAAAAGTAACAATAATAAAGGCCTATTTTATTATTGGTTATTTATTAGCTTTTTTTCGAAAATAATGTTTTTTCTTTGTTTGAATGGTACGTTTATTGCAAATTTAAGTTTTTTAGCAAAAAAATTTTTTTATCTACAGAAATCTTTATATACATTTTTTTTAGTTTTTGTGTTTTTTTTTTTTAATCGTTTGCTTCTTTCATTTGATGACTTTCTGTTGTAGTCATTAATATTAATATTATTAATATTGTTTGCTTAGGAAAGCCTACTTCACTGATAATCAT